ACACCCACTGAGAAGCACTCGGTGCGTATCAATCTATCCTTATCACACAATTTTATCACTTGTTTTGTCAGTAGTGCCAAGTGTCAAGACAGAGAACAAGTGTGAAAACAGCACACTCAAACAATCCGCATCAGATAGATTATTTGAGCACACAAGCAGCGCTAAACGGATAAAATAGAGCCATCTTGGGCCAATCGAACGAGACAAATCACGCATGACATATTGGAGGATTTCGCATCCGGGTACAAATGCAGGGAACAGTGCGCTGAAAAGGGAGAAGGCGAAAAATGGACAGCGTGATTTCGAACTTTAAGGCACAATCAGTCACCTGCCAGGAAACACAGGTTCTCACCCTGTATTTCTCAACCCACCTCTCCTCCTTTCTGTCTCCTCATCCCTACTTCCCGTCACCTCTCTCTCCTCGCCCCTCCCTCCATCCCTTTCTCCCCTCCCTTCTTTTCTGCCTCTTCTCCCTCACTCCCTTTCTCCCACTTTGTCTCTCGATCTGCCCTTCTCGGATACCAGAACTCCCTGGCCATTCACCAGGGCAACGACAGACATAAAACGCCCTGCACACGACAACCGTGGGCAGATACCGATGCACAAAAAACGCGCGAACCCCATGACCCAAAGCAAGGTTGCCCATCGACGCCCGACCCGGCATAAGTGAAGACGCTTCTGGATAGCACAGGCAGAGAACACATATACATCACACCTCACCAGCACCGACGGGCAGGCCGCCCTGGGCAACATGGATTGTTCGCCGCCACACTAAGTCCCACCTGTTGCTGAGTATGATGGCGATGACGAAGACGTTGCCCACGATGCCCGGGATAGTCTCGCAGGCGACTCCGACACCGAAGAGAGCCAGCTGCCACGGCGGCATCACGCGCCACGGGTGAAGGTCCCGCTTGCTGCGGTCACCAGAGGTCACTGGGGTCAGCAGCAGGTCATCACCACGGGTGAAGGGCCCGCTTGCTGCGGTCACCAGACGTCACTGGGTCAACAGCAGGTCAATGAGGTCAGAAACAGGTCATCGCAACGGGTGCAGGTCCCGCTCGCTGCCGTCACCAGAGGTCACTGGGGGCAACATCAGGTCACTGAGGTCAGCAACAGGTCATCGCCACGGGCGGAAGCTCTCTTGCTGCGGTCACCGGAGGTCACTTGGGTCAGCAGCAGGTCATCACCGCGGGTGGAGGTCCCACCTGTTGCTGTCACTAGAGGTCACTGGAGTCAGCAGCAGATCATCAACGCGGGCGGCCATCACAAGCACAGTAAAAGCAGAGAAAGCAGGCATCACCGGCCATGGGTGAATGCCGTGTACGCCGTAGCCGGAGCAGCGGCTGGTCCCTGCCAGCGACGGAGCGGAGCTCACTAAAGGCCTCTGTATACATGCATTTCAACTTGTATTCACGGATGCGTAATTTATCGCGAGCTGAAGCAAAATTGGTTCTTTTCCGGCCTCTCGCTAATGGCGCTTACATGACACTATTAGCAAGAGGCTGTTTTTGCGTCATGGAACTAGGTCATGGTTAATGTTGGTAGGTATCGTCATGCAAGCAATGTTTGCATTCCACCTGCCGGGAAATCGATCAGTGCAGAGGCTAGCGTTTCAGCGAAGAATAAGGACAACTGATTCATTATTTCACAGCTAAGTAAAAAAAGCTGTAAGAGATCAGGGTTAGAACAATATTGTGTTTTCTGTTTTAGCGCATTCTACAGCAGAGATTTTGCCCTAGATTTTCAGAGCTTTTAGTGTTCAGATGCTACTAGGTTTTGCGTTTTCGCATAAGATGAAAACATCCCACTGGGGTGACTTAAGGTGGGTCCAGGGTCTACAGCTGTTCAGAATCTGAACAGCTCGCGTGAGTTTGACTAATGAACGACATGGTTTCAGCTACTCCAGTTTTCAATCAGCTGAGACCTGCTCACTATAGACAATGACTGGAATAGAATAATTCGCAATAGCCTGGTATGTTTGTCACGTCCCGCACAACATGACAGGCACCTGGGCAGATGGCAGGCGGTGATCAGGGGCGCAGCCGGAGCGTTGGTAAGGGGGGGGGGGCAAGGATGAAAAGGGTCCCTCAAAGTGAAGGCCCCTTCCCACAAAAACTTACTCAGATATGACCTACATGATTTCGAGGAGGCACCAGTTCCTATGGTTTCATTAGATTTTTATCTTCCTTAACCGAAAAGGAAGCCAGGAGCTATCGGATGATGCAGGTTTGCATTTTGAAATCAAGAAACTAAAGAAAGCGGGCGTTAAATGACTGCAAGGAATAAACCGCAGGCCCTATTCATTCTGCAGTGGTGCAGTGAACTCTTTCTAAACGGCCAAGATCAGGGGCTCAAATACGGCCCCTGACCGACTCGGGCCCGTTGCCGGCACATGGTCATATATTCGGTACTGTGGGGTCCTGAGCGACGCAGGACCCCTCATTGTTCCGAGGCCCGACCAATGCAAATCGCGGGCCTCGGCCTTGCTCCTGCTTAGCAAATGGGCGCTCAGAGCTCAGACCGACGCCACGGCAACTGTTCTGTGTTAGTGGCTCTGCGCCAGGGGTCTCGGTCAGTGCAAGATGACCTCTGGTTGACATTTAGGGTCACGGCACCAGCAACCGGGTCCCTCCCTTAGATCCACAGCCAACCGTTCGGACTCTTCGGCCTTCCAGTCGGGTCGTTGATCTTCGGCCGAGAGGGGTCCCTCGTACCCTCTTCAGACTCCCTAAAACAGGGCTTCTGGCCGACTCGGAGCTCCTTGCCAATACAGGACCCCCGTCAGGCACTGTGGGCCCCTGGCCGACGGCAGAGGGCCCTCATTGACTCAGGGGCCCGACCAACATAAATCGTGGGCCCAGGCCATGTCCTTACTTGGAACATGGGCCTTCGGGCCGACACCGTCACAGAGGCGACTGTTCGCTGCTGGTCGTGCCTGACCGACACGGAGGCCTTCATCGACTCAGGCGGCCTCCAACTGTCGCAACGGACCCTCTGACAGGCATTTGAGCCCTTCGGGTTGAAGCCCTTCGGGTTGAGGCCCTTCGGGTTGAAGCCCTTCGGGTTGAAGCCCTTCGGGTTGAAGCAATTCGGGTTGAAGCCCCCTAATAAGTCATCCAGTCGGCCCTTCGGGCCCTCAAATCGACCCCATATGTCATCCCAAATGTCGTCATTTGATGTTATTTTGCTATCATTTTATTCATTATTATCATTGTTATCATTAATGTCATCAGACACATTAAAAGAGTACTTCACTGCTCAGAACCATGAAGTGATAAAGCTAGGATTAAACACGGATAATATGGGGAGAACTGGGACGTAGTGTTCCAGCTCTCCCCTAGTTGCCCTTGGTCTTCGAGACACATTCCATCGCGATTATCGAAGGCACAGAGCACAAATATTTGGGCATGTACGTCAGTACGATCATTATATGATAGACTTAGTTTAATAAGCGTCTTAAATGGCAACTACAAAAGTGCATTTCAAGACCGCTGTGTGTGCAAGCCGGCGAAGGCAGCTCGTACATGATATAGATGGAATGCGACAAATAATTGAATTAATGGCACACGCCACTCTGCTCCATCGGCCTTGAGGCACTTAGACTCACAATAGCTCCCACGATTAGCTTTGCGGGGAACAGGGACCCACCACTCCACACCGGCGGCCATTGTTTGTCGTTTTCAGCCGAGTGCAAAATAACAAGAGTTTTAGTTAGCAAGATGAGTCAAGAAAAGTCTCCGCTTAAAAACCCCTACATAGACTTGGATTCAAATACGCCCTAGCGCAGTTGGGCGCAGTTCCTTCGAAGAGCTGCCGCCAACGAACGCCCCGGCGCCACGACAAACCTGAAGTCGACGATGCAGCCGTTGCCAAAGTTGCAGCAGGTGAGATTGCATTCTGCGGTGTCAGTGTTGATGTTGGAGCAGTTGTTGACGGGGGCGGCCAACGTGCTGACCATGTCGTCGGCGATGATGCCGCCTCGCCACGGCAGGGTCAAGTCCGGCATCGTGCTGAAGGGAACCGCCGGCTCCATGTCCCTGCAGCTGAGGACGGTTCGGCTAGGGTCACAGCACTGCGGTGTGCCTCAGTCACAACATTAGAGTGTGTGCCATTCAAAGCCCTGCAGTGTGTGTCAATCAAGACATTGCAGTGTGTATCAGTCACGACGCTGCAGTAGGCGGTAATGAAAACACCACAGTGTATGTCAGTCCAAGCACGCAGTCGATGGAATGGTGATCAAAACACTGCAGCACAGCTTTCCAGCCGCTGGAAAGACAGCGGTAGAGATCGGTCCGACCATCCTATGACCTAGCGGACCGCGCCGGTCACAGCGGGGACTGCTGGACACTGAACAGGTGACACAGCGGGGACTGCTGGACATTGTCCAGGCGACACAGCGGGGGCTGCTGGACACTGGACAGGCGACACAGCTGAGGCTGCTGGACAATGAACAGGTGACACAGCGGGGACTGCTGGACACTGGACAAGTGACACAGCGCGGACTGCTGGACACTGGACAGGTGACACAGCGGGAACTGCTGGACACTGGGCAGGTGACACAGTGACGGTAACTGACGCCGCAGCATCGCTGGGTCTTCTGCCCGGAGGCCCACTCACGAGCGAAATATCATAGGAGATCATATATATATCTTAGATCTTAGATACATCTTCGGGTTTTTAGGTCTTAGAGAGATCTTAGTTCTCAGAGAAATCTTAGATCTTAGAGAGATCTTAGATCTTGTAAAGATATTAGAGAGATCTTATGTTATCAACTCGTTGTCTTGGAAACGCAAGGTCTCCGACTGGGTGTGTCTCCTGGGATACCAGTACCTCTGTTCATGCCATGAGAAGCAACAACGCATAGGGACGTACCGATCCATTCTGAAGACTTTGTTAGCTCTCAAAGAGCTCAGAATAATGTTTTTGTTATGGCCAGAGAATGCGTGGCCCTTGACCTTTCAATGACCGAAGGGTCCCATGAGTTTCGTTTGGTTGGTCAGTTTTGCACCCAACAAACATAAACAAACGTAAAGACGAATACACGTCAGCACCTGCATGCAAGTACGCAGGGGCTCCGACCGTATGGTTATGTCCTGCGGCATGTACGACATACATGGATGACGCCCCGCTCGCAGGACTTACCTGATCGGCGTATATGCTTTCGGACGGCAGTTCACCTGGGATAGGTGCGTCGGCTCTGGCGCCTCTATCTCACCATCAGCCTTTCCTCTTCGTATGCCGGCCCGGGTGGCACCCAGCGGTACACTTTGGAGCTGCAAAGTCTAACGGTGTGGGGGGAGGGCGCTTCTTTGGACCGGTCGCCCAGACTTCCACGTCTCCCCCTGTCTCTCTCGGGAGACGGAAAACAAATGGCACCGAGTTTCCGCCAGAGGGCCAGGCGCAGGGGCCTGCTCGCAAATCTCGCAACCACAGTCTGCCCACCAAACCGACCTCTCGCGCGCACGACTGTCGTCTTCAGGTCAGCGGTCCCGCCTGCGTCCTCTTGGTGTTCTCTGGCCAGCCTTTTCCTCCGTGTCCTCTTGGTGTTCTCTGGCCAGCCTTCTCCTCCGTGTCCTCTTGGTGTGCTCTGGCCAGCCTCCTCCCACGTGTTCTCCTGTTGACACCTGCTGTGCCCCCAGATCGTCCTCTCGTCGGTCCTCCTGCCGTCGTGCGGCCGTGTCCTCGCCCGGCCGCACGTCCTCCCGTGCCTGTCTCGCGTGCGACTGACGCGTGCACGGCTCGTCTGAGTCCACGGAGGTCATTATCAGCAGCGGACCTCTCGGACAGCAGATAACGCCCACAGTCGACCGCCGACGTGCAGCGGTGAGCGGTCAAGGTCAGCCGACCCTGGCTGAGATGACCGTCGCCCCGGTACCTCAGTGGGTTAGTGCGTCTGTCTTCCGATTCCCCACTCGTGGCGGGGTGGGTTCGAGTCGCTTTAAGAGCCCGCTGTTTGCCCTGGACTGCGGTAGCTTGCGGCCGGTGGAAGCGGCTGCACTGAAGCCTAAGCGCCGTCAATTGGTAGGCAGGACCGCGTCAAGCCTTTACGGCGCGTTGAAATTTCGTCGAGACGTTTGGCCGTTGACCTGGAGTTTTACGACAGGATGGTGGGGGTCGTAATCAGCACTGCTTGGCGTGAGCTCTCATCTTTTTCTCATGGGCTTTCGCGGTTAACACGTCAACGTAGCGTGCACGTAGGGACTGTCTAAGCTCTGCAGTACACGTAATGACCGGCGTATATTTTTGGAGCGTGGGTTTTGTCGCGTGCAAATGTCGGTGATGCTGTGCGCAAGTATCGCATGAAGAACGTCGTTTCACTCTTATTGGTGCGAGTATATTTCTGTAGCACTGGCGTCATGGAACGACTTCAGCACCTTCAGCGCCCGGTGTCAGGGCAATAAATTTAGGCTCCGCCTCTTCCCATCACTTGTGAAGTGCTGCCATCTGCCGATAAGTCGTAAGGACTATTAGGCGCGGAAACTGATCTGTCCTTATACTCATACAGGACGGAAGGACGTAGATAGCACTGCGTCGGTTAGTTTTAGACTTAGTTTGATAAGTCGGCAAGGTGCAATAGTTAAAAGGCATGCCCTCAACGCCCCCCCCCCCGTCCGGCGAAGCACCTGCTCACCTTCCTCCACCTCCCCTCCCCCGCGCGGGGCCAAGTTTTGTGCTCAGCAGCGTTTTCGGAGAGGTGGGCCGACTTTCTACAAAGTCATGCGCCATCGACCTCGAGCTGGGGCTCTGCGCAGGCGCGGTAGAGACAGCTCTCCCAGGTTACAGATCAGGAGCTGCTGGAGGAGCTAACCGGGCAAAGGGCGTGCGAGCTCGTGCACCTGCCCTCCTGCTGTCCTGGCCTGGCCCAGCCCCTGGTCCGACTGCGGTTAAGGCCTCTCACTCCTGCAGCCATCTGCTGTGGGTATCTGAGGGTCACGGTCAGGGACTGGGCCGCCCCATCCGAGCAGGATCAAATGTGTTAACGTTTCGGCCGCCCCGACCGAGCCTGCCGGGATAGGAAACCGACCTGTGCACGCCGTGAGACCCCCCCCCACTCCCCCCCCCCCACCGCAGGCGAGAGTGTGGCGCTGAAACCCGGGTCAAACCACATGCGACGGCCCGCACGCGGCCCAGCGCCGCCGGACTTGCCCCGCTCGGCGTATGCAGTGAGAAGGACTGACGGAGCGCCAGCTGCAGACTGATGTCGTATAGTATCAAGCGAACATTTGGTTGGTATTTTACGCCCAATTTATGTCCACTAAATCAACTCGGGTGATGTTGTACGAAGAGCAGGCCATTTTGTGCTCGTATCCAGAATGTGAGTAGAAAATCCCCCACTCTACTAAAAAATAGTCGGACCTCTCCCAGGTGATCTAGGGATATGAAGCTCACATACGTCATATAAAAAAGCTTCAACGGACGTGACGCCGTTAAGTTTTTGAAGATCTGTCAAATAATGTGAGCGCCAAATCTCTCGGAAAAGGGTCAATTTTGGAAAAGCTACGTTGTGAAATGCAACATATCACCTAAAGTTAGAGACTTGTGCTTAATACAGGATCATTTTTGCTTTAGGCGAGGCATGTGGTTCAAGTCAGTTCCAGATTGCACTCATAAAGATAGGTACTTTTAGGCCAAATTTTTCAACAGCATATCTGGGTAGCTAAACCTCTTCATAGAGTTCACACGTGAATTGCAATATGTCCTAAATTCTGTACTAAGTAATGCTTAACAGGGTTCTAATAAACTGATTTACTTCGTCCAAAAAAGAAGAAAAGATCTCGACGAGACGGGATTGATTGGTGACAAGAACATGAAAATCGGTCAAACGACGGCGCCGAAGTAAACAAAAGACAACGGAAAAATGTTTTTTCTTTCAAAAGTTCCCACGACAGCATTGCTTGAGAAATGTTGTGCCGTACCACAAACAACGCGTCTTGTCACGGAGCATTGCTTGGGTGTGGAAATTTGAAATCGGTTCAAGGACAGCTGATATGTGAACAAAAAACCTCGATTTTTCAAAATAGCCTTTTGCGCCAACGCGTTGAATAAGGATCTTTTTAACCGATGTTTTGTGTTTGAAACGTCATTATATGCGCATCGTAACGGGGCACAACGCTATTATTTTTCTTAAGTGATTTAAGAAGGGAACAAAAATTTATAGGCAGAGAAGCATTTTCTTAAGTTTGCACTTAACAAAAATTGTCCTGCGCTAAGACCAAGAGGCCGATTGACTTGACCCCGAAGTACGTACTGCATGTGTGCAATGCACATCGTTTGTTTTTGAGTGATTGAAGTCTATCAATCAGGGGCCACCACAAACTAAAAGCTTTTTTTGTCAATATAGGTTCCCCTGAATTAACTCGGGTGATTTTGTACTATTGTCGTTTTTGCACGATAAGTAGTAACGCTGGTATCACTTATGCACTCAATCGACTGGAGCTATTAAACTAATAACCCGATTGCATTTTTACAAAAAGTATTGTGTAAGGCATTTCCGGACACATCTTTTCTGCGAATTTTGCAGTTGTAACGAATGAATTTACAGGCTAGTGATATGCTAAGCCATCAGTTCAATGCGGCGATCCCCTGTACGTCCAAATCCGTTTCCTGATGTCCTGCTTCTGCTTAAATAATTCCAGGAGCCTTACAATGCTAAAAAACATTGAGTTTGAACTCTATCTCATATGGTTTAGGTTTTACTAAACTCAAGGTTCAACATGCTCGAAAAAGCCTAAAATTTGATCGGACCTGAACAGCTGGACGTCAAAGCTTCAAAAGTTATATCAACAGACAGCCCACGTTATAATCTGCATAAATCTGGAGTCGAACCATCCAAAATATCAATGTGTGTCTAATTTTTTGCGTGGTATTCCTTATGGGAAGGCATATTTTTCACAGATGTACCGTCTTGTACCCATTTTGTATTAAGAGTTGAAATTCACAAATAAAAGCCGCACCAGTCATTATCTACACAAGGTAAAACGTTAAGCACTGGCACTTTAGGGGTTCAAAAGTTATGTCTTGTTAAAGTCACTCACTACATGGCGAAATTTCAGCGCAACGCTGCGGGAAAAACTACTCCAGCTTACTGATGTCCTTACTTGTTTAATAGGCTGCAAAACTTGATTCCTTAAAAACAAGGTAATGCACAAGTATCACCTGTAATTATGTCAGAGCACAAAATGGGCATTGGGGAAAAAGTTTCAAAAAAGGTCAATTTTCTGACCTATCGAAACTTGGTTAAGGGCCCGTTACAGCTGAGGTGTTAAGGGCCCGTTAAAATAGCTTTTGAACTCAATTTGCCATGCAAAGCGGTATAAAATTATTCAAAATGTAAAACAATCTGCTAAAAAAATATGTTGAAAATCTCTCAAAATTCCCCAAAAATGTGCAATGCAACAAGAGTGTTGGAAGGAAGCCGAGTTTTACATGCAAAAAATGTACTTATTTGTGAAGGAACGTGGTTCTGCACCTCTTAGTTGCCAAGACACGTGCCAGGAAAAGGGACCCACTATTACACCGTTATTGTGAATTTTTTTTCAAGTGCCACGCGTACCGCTATGTGAGAAACTACCCCTACTTAATTGACTGTAGCTTCTTCAGTATGCAAGTTTATTCTTATCTGTAAAACTCACGACATAAATAAAAGTCTGGGAAATTCAAAGCTGGAAGCATAATTTGTCCGTGCCGGTGGCTCAGTTGGTTAGAGCGCCTGCCTTCCGATCCACCCACCCGTGGCTGGATGGGTTCGAGTCGCTTTAGGGCGCTCGCTATTTGCCCTTGACAGGTATGGCCTGCGGCCGGTGGCAGCGGTCGCGCTAAAGGTCAGGTGACGTCAGAGGGCAGGACGGACCGTGCCGAGCATTGCGGCACGTTAAGCTTTCGCCACTAAATTCTGCCGTTGCCTGGGATTGCGCGATCGGATGGTGGGGGTCAGAGCTCACGCAACAAGCACTGCTTAGCGTGAGCGCTGATCCCAGAAATCCATCCATTCAAAAGGGTTCGGATCAAATTTAAAAAAAGAAGAAGAAAAAAATTTGAAAACCTGACATCCAAAATTTTCACAATTTACGAAATACTCATCAACCATCTGTATCGCGCTTTACAACTGGTTTGATGACAGTGCGACTTCAGAGGAAAATATTTCACATTTAATTTTTGTTCAAAACCATTTTGATTTTTTGAAAAATTTTATGCCTTGATGATACGTGTGGGTCAAAATGATCAAAAGAGTTAGATTTTTTATGAAACATCCTAAAACGCTACTACGTGCTAAAACATAGAAAAGACTGTCTCTGCTTGGTTATTTCAGCCCTTTATCCTGTTATGTTGCTGCACTACAGCCTGCCAAACTGGGCAAGTGCAGTAAGTGAAACATCGATTTTTTCCAAGTGCCACGCGTAACGCTATTGGAATAATTTCTTCCACTCACTCGAATAAAACTTATTCAATATATACCAGAACCACAAGATGCAAAAGCGTGACGCACACGATCATCAAGCGCAATGACATGTTGGAACAAAATTCCCAAAACAATATTTAAAAAAAGAAAAATTGGTCGAGTTTTCGCATACATATGGGAGCCAAAATATTGTTCCTATGTCACAAGGACCTTGCAAAAAGCATTTTGTGCTGCATTTTACGCCAATATAGCTAATAAAATATTTGAAATAGTAATTTTTTGAG